TGCTGAATCTGGATAATCTGAAAATACAGGACAAGGAAAAGGTTTAGGGCAGGCCTGTGGTTTTCACACATACAGTCGATTCATTTCATTTGATGCCATAATATCATTTAGGACAATGGGAAGGAGATAGCCATGGGGTGGAGCAAATATTGAATATCAGCAATACGGAATCCAGTACCACATCCAGAGAACGGTGACCTTGGCGATTTATTTCACCTCACCAGGCCCTGCTGTTTGGATCTGCTAAATTGTTATGCAATTATGTCTCCCTTTCAGCTCCAGAGAGTTGTTTTGATTCCTGAGCTGAAGTTTCCATCATGCTTTAAATCCTTGGGATGAAGAGACTCTAGCTAAATAAGAATCCCAAGAAGGTTGCAAAGTGAATGCTGTTTTCCTTAGTATAGACCTTAAAGGGCATCTCAGAGCAAAATTACCTGACGTTCAAAGTAGTTTTTCAAGACTGGGGTATTAGAGAAGAAACAGTTCTGGTGAGGGAAAAGAGAAGATCATAGCCAGGACTAAACCAGGACGAAAGGGGGTCCCTCCTGAGGCTTGGGAAAGCAGCCATGAATGGGTGAATGCTTCCTCTAACCTTTAGCCTGCTGGAAATGCCCTCTTGTTATAGAGAATTCACTGATTGAGATCTGGATTAAAAAACTGTAGTAGACTTGATGGGTGGCAGAGTTGCTCAAGCAAAGGTGGATCCAAATGGAAGACCACAAGTTCAGTTCTCCAGTCCACCTGTACATGTTGGATGTGCACCCTTGGTCTTGGCTAGTCGAGACATTGGGGGGAGTGACAATATAACAGCCTATGGAGGGCATTTCTCTCTCTTTGTCTCTTGCTCTCATGAAATAATGAAATAAATTTAAAAAAAGAGAAATGTATAGACTTACATGATCATTGCATTGCAGGAATATTGGGAATCCCTTGGGTCACCAGGCAAGTCATGATGCATTCGTGCATAGGAAAATATCGAATGATTTTCCCAATGACCTAATATTAATTATGTAGTAAGGAGGTGTATTTGTTTATGTTCAAGGATGTGTGTTTTGAAAGTATGATATTCCACGTTAAGACTGTTAAAATTAAAATGAAGACCAGACCTGAAGAATCACTGAGCAATCAAAACCAGTTGGGGCTCATAAATGCCCTAAAACTTGTTTGATTTGCAAACATACGCAAAACTTGAGGTATCTTTTGTGAATGGCTGTATTAAAGAAAAACAAGACCTAAAATCTGCCAATCAGAAGCAGCCAACAAACTTATGTAACTAGGGACTTTCTGATAGGATGGACCAATAAGACAACTTTATAACTGCAACCAATCAAATATTTTTGTCCTTTTACTTCTATGTCTGTCTTATAAAAGCCTCTCCCTTAGTGTTCCTGAAGGGGTGCTTTCAGACTACTTCTGGTTTGGAGTTGCCTATTCATGAAATTATTGTTTGCCTAAATCAGCTCTTTAAAATTTTATTGTGTGGGACCAGCAGATGGTATAGTAGTTATATCGCTGGACTCCCACACAGTGTACCGCAGTTCAAGTCCAGACATGGTGGCTTGGAAATCATGCTAGGTGTAGAATGGAAGAGAAGGGATTGTGGCGTGGCCATCTCCCCGGAAGGTGATTTCTTACTTGCTGTTTCTCTGTCTCTCTGGCGAGTACATGCGCCCTATAGCAAAAATCTTTCTTAAAAAAAGAAAAAGATTATTGTGCCTTAGTTTATTTTTTACATGACCAGTGCCTCAGAATGGTACTCTTGAGGCAGGAGAAATCTAGCAAATGGAAGTGGGTAAGGGGGTGAGGGAGCTGGAGCATCTGCCTATAAGGCTAGATAGAAAAACAATCAGGGCAAAAAATTCCCCACGCAAGGTAATGTAGGCAGGAGATTAGTGGGGGCTGTCTAGCTGATTAAGTCACATTCGATATAGCCAATGAATTGAGTCCGTGATCCCAGTCATATTTGATAGAGCCAATGAGTTTAATCAGTGGGTCCAGTCACGTTTGAAAGAGCCAAAAACCATGAGAACAATCAGTGGGCCTAGCCAATGATAACTAACACAACATAGATTAAAAAATTATAAACCAGGACCAGCAGATGGCATAATAGTTACATTGCTGAAAATTGTGATAAACCGTGGATCAAGTCTTGGATCCGGTAGTTTAAAACTCACACCAGGCATGTATGTGTGCATGTCCAAAATTTCGAGAGCAGAATGGAGTAGAAGGGGTTACAGCATGGCCATCTCCTCTGGGGAAAGATTTCTCATGTTTTGTCTCTTTTTGTCTCTCTGGTGAGCACACCTGTCCTATGGCAAAAATCTCTCTTAAAAAAATATAAACTTCGCAGAATGTACCTGCTTGGGCCTTTTTAAAAAAAATATTTGTATTAATTAATTAATTAACTTTTAATTTGCTGTAGGGTCTCTGTGCCCACTAGAGAGAGAGAGAAGAGAGAGTGAGAATAAAAGAATGTGAGAACTGTCAGGTCTGAGACTTGAACCAGTGTTAGTCATGTGGGAGTTCAGTACCTTAATCGCCATGACTCCTACTGGCCTCTTGAGGTCTTTTGAGCCACTCTTCCTCTGCTCAGCCCACTCCCACCTCTTGGAAGTATACTTTTGCTTTCAATTAAGGAACTACCCTTTCATGTTTTGTTTCTTTGGCATGTTTTGGTCAATTCTTTGTCCAGAACACTAAGAACGTGGGTATCATTGTAGGAGGCACACCACAACACTCTTAGCACTTGCATTGCACCCAAGTTCAGATCAGATTTGAAGAAAATAGATGGAGATGAAGATAGTTCGATCTCATCAATGGAGATAACCAACTCTGTAAAAATAATAATGTGGTTTATTACTAAGCATGAAATTGAGTGACACACCCAGAGAAAGACAAGCATGTTTCTTGGGGTGCTGAGATACAGTGCTTCCTTTTATGTAGTTCTGAGAATAGAAGAGTTGACACTCAGCCTAAGGAGTCTTTTGCATTGGCCTGACCCCAAAAGGTGGGCTATCTGGAAGAGGAGACTTGTAGGTTATAGGTCAGGTTGAAATTCTTAGATTAGTACTTGGTTAATGAAAAACAAAAGTCTGTTTTGGAAGAAATCAGCGAAAGACTATCTGTGCTTTACTCTAAGAGATAAAAAGGCTTACTACGCATCCTAAAAACACTACACCTGGAAGAAGATGAATGAAGACCTATAAGGAAAAGA